CTGCCTAAGCACTTTAAAGAAAGTCAAATCCAAATATATGTACATGCACATGCATATGCATATGTCTAATTTTAAGTAGTTCTCTGCAGGTCCTGTGCTTACCTCAACTCTTCAATCTGACGTTCTTCTTATTATTGTCAGTGTTGAAGTTAAAGATTCTGAAAGAGTCAATGCTGTCATTTATCACAGAATATTACTTCTCCCCTTGTTGGTCTTTTACATATTATACCCTAGCCCTTCCAGGTAAGTGAAGGAGTAATTGGCTATATTAGAATATGACATGCTTATTAGAAAACAGACGTTGGCTTCTCCCTTGAACCAGATTCTCCTGTCACTAATTCTCATTTTCGTATCGGAAACAATTGGTTTTACATTTATATAGGCCTGCTGACTTAAGTGGTTCTGACTATGTTTTGCATCACTGTAATCAAGAAGAGAAATAGCCCCTTGGGTGCAAAAGAAGTATGAGGAAATAGTAAAGGCCATTTGACAAAAAGGATCATTTCAATCACTACTATCTTTTTCTTGATTTAGTAAAATTTATTGGGAAAATTTGGAAAAAGGTAACCGACATACTACCATACAAATTTGGACCTATGTTCATTTCTTGAATTCTTGTCAATCCAGCCAAAGTAATTCCTCAGTTCAGGAAAATTTTTAAGTTGTACTGAAGTCCACCCCTATTCAGGACAATTTCATTCCATAGTGTAGATGACCCTTCACTAATACTGCTTTACCTTCAGGCCTTTCTCATGTGAAGTGAAAGGCTATTAGCTTGTGTTCTTCAGCTGATTTCTGTTGCTACAATATAGGCTTTATACATAGCCCTGACTTTCTACCATTCAATATCTGACAAACCTGTCCTGCCCAGCAGAATGAGAATAGTGGTTCTCTTTGAAGAGATCCTCATGGAAATTTCTCCCACACCCCAGGCTCTTTCCCATTAAATGTTTGTTGAAGGCAGATATTATTATTGTGAAAATGTACAGCAGTCACAAGTACACAAAAACATTGAAAGCTCTACAAAAATGTTTGATATTTAACAGGAAACGTAATTCAAATAAAACCAGCCAGAGATCATTAAGAAAATATGCAGAGCATTTTCCTTTTACTTTAAAGTAAATTGCCCCTTGTATTCACTTCAAACTTTTTCTCCCCTACACAAGGACAGTTTGGGTCATCATTTAGACACCTTGATCACAAATTGATTAGACCAAGGTTGGCAATGTTTTTTTTTCCAGTGGTGGGCCAGAATGACTCAAATTGGGTCCAAATTGGACTGGCATGACTAGGAACTGGCCTCCTCTACCATCATGACTGCTTCTCCTTGCCACCTGGCCATGGCACAGAAGAGGTAAATGACAGTAGTGACGCTTCATGTGTAGTAGACTATTCTACTTCTCATTAGCACTTTAGCATAATGTCACTTTTTTACTAGCATAGCAAATTAGTTTTACTAATGCCTAGTAAAATAATCTACTGCACATTAAAATGCACATATAGATGTGCTCTGTTATTAGTAAATGTATGATGAGTACATTTCCAGTACACCAATGTAATCTATGTTATTTGCGCATCTGTAGAGATCTGCATAAATGAGTTTAAAATAACTAATAAGAAAGCATTTATAAATTACCTGGGGAGTGGAATGAATAAGATTATTTAAACCTGTCTGGAGAATATTCTGTAGTACATCTCAACATAATGTATTAGAGGAAATAACTATTTTTGTTAATCATTTATTAATTATACATAAAATATTTATGAATTTTATCTTAATGGGAAGTGCTCCTGTTGAGGTATAGGACGTGATAGGGTGTTCAGATACAAAAAATGAGAAATGATGTGACTTGAAAAGGCATAAAAATGACTTACAAGGGCATAAATGCAGCACACAGGAGGAGATGACTTAACACAGGACTTACTACACTAGAACAGGCCAACTGGATAATCACTTTGGTATCTTGGCTATAGCAGTGGTCTGTACTTAAGTAAGTGTGTAATTACTAAAGGATATCCATTACACTTCTGTCCTATATACCTTGCTTAATGCTTTTCAGCAACTGTAAGGGACTTGTATATGTAATGAGCATAAGAGAAATTAAGGTAGACTCCCCAAAACACCCAGTATCAACAGTCTAACTTAAAGATAAACATTGGCTTAGATTTGAACATAGAGAACAGATTCCTGAAACTTAAACGTTATTAAGGGAGGTGTGGCAGGGCACTAGGTGTGCCTGCCACTTTAAGGCCCTGGAGCTGGCAGCATCCAGGTGCCTAATGAGGGCAGCCATTTTAGGCTCAGGGGTGCCTATATAAACAAGGCAGTTTGGCTGCTGAAGGTCAGGCAACAACACTGCCTGGCCAGAGGGCTGCTGAGTTTCATCCGGAGGTAAGGGAGAAGCTGTAGGGGATGGTAGGAGGCTCCTGGTCCTGGGAACGACCTGAAACTGCACCCTGCCAAGAGTGGGTGGTCTGGTAGGGCTCTCAGTGGTGCGGGAGCCCCCAGGAAATGCCAGACCAGTTACCACCCCAGTGAAAGGCGGGTCGGGGTGCCTTAACCCCTAGCCCTCACCTTCAGGTGGGTCACATACACCGGAGGTAGTTTTGGGGGTGCCAGCCCCAAGGAAGAGAGTTGGAGGCCAGGTGTGGCCAAGGCTGCCTGAGCTCTACGGGGGTTTGATACCCCGAGGAGGAGAGTTGGGGTCAGGCATGGCTACGGCCACCTGAGCCCACCTGTGGAGGGAAGCCCCAAGACACCAAGTAAAAGGGGATGTTACGAGCAGTGTGGAGCCCCCAATGTGAGGGAGGCAGCGTGTGGAGCCCTGTGAAGGGAGAGGGGGCCCAGCCAGAAAGAGAGAGCTGAGTTCTGACCCCAGTAAGTCCTCCAATGTGAGGAGGCAGGGTTTGGGTAGAATATAACACTGGTAGTAGCACCACGACCTGCTGCACAAGTGGGGGGGGAGTGAGAGTCCCCTGTGAGACCCTGAGGCACCAGTCGTGAGCTGAAGGTCCCAGTGAGGGACCACACCTGAAGGGGAACTGGTGGCAGGAAGAGACATGGCCCGGTATGATGGCGGCAGAGTCCGCCTGAAGGGAGGAGCTCAACTGGGGGTCCTACAGCAGGATTCTGGGCCCCAGCGTGGGGGACTGGTGCGTATGAGAACATCAGGATGTCATCTGCGAGGCTTGGGCTGCAGTGTAGGGGAGGAATGGAGCCACAGATGGTGCCCCCTAGCAGCGGGACAGAAAATGGGCAGCCTCCCACCTAATTACATCTATTAATTAATCAATTAAGACCAAGGTGTGGCAGGCAAGAAGGCGGGCGGTTTGCCCAGGAACAGGTGGGCGGGCCACATGGAGATCAGCCCCAGTAGGCCCCCTGTTACAGGAGGGCATTGCAGACAAATGGGAATCAGTTTGAAGCACTGTCTATAAGAAGTGTATATAAATTTGGTAGGAGCATTTATATTTTTCTCATCTCACTGATCTATTAAGAGAGTGACTGTCAACATTTACATATAAGTCTTGACATCACAAGGTTTGTGTTTTAAAGACACTTAACGAAACCAAATATGAATAGAAATAAGTTTCTAATTTATTTTAATTAAAACATTTTTTTGGCATTTAGAAGTGTTCCCGCAGTGCTGGAAACCCGAATATAGCAATGCTGTTCTAGTTCGTGGCAACAGATGATAGCTGAACCTAAACAAATCTTAACACTATCATAAATTCAGCTGAAATCCTGAGGGCATATCAGTACTGACTCTGACAACATTAGGCCATACCACTGTAATAACATATCGTGCCTACTTGCCCCACTCCATTAAATCCCAAAAAGTAGCCTAGTCACAATTTGGTGAGCTCCCATTGTGTGGCCAGCATACTTCTCCATCTTGAATGTGGTTCGTGGCACATAGCCAGGACTGTTCTAACATTGGCATTTGGTCGAGCAGCAGTGTGTGGGAGGGTTGTGATTTCACAGTAGAACTCTACAGCTACAGTGGGAGGTGGTGTAGGTTCTAATTGTTCAGATCAGCTGATACATTTTTATTAGGATGTTATAATGTGAACTGCACAAATGCACCTGATTTCTTTCTTACTGTTTACCGGTAATTAGTTAGGTGCTGAGCTGGCTTATCATTAATTATGGCCACCTCAAAAAATGGACATTTGGAAGGGAATCATAGCCCATGGAAATTTTGCTATAGCCTGCAGTGGGTCCTGGATTTCATTCCCAGTTTGGGCAAGCAACATGAAGCATACTGTGAACTGCTTTATGCTTGAAAACTTGTGAGATGAGAGTTTCAGGACCTCCAGTACTTTTTTCATTTCACTTGTTACTGGCATGCTGTCTTTTGCCACCTGTACCTTTGATCAGTGTATCTCAGAACTAAAATTTAATTGCTTATATTTTGCCCTTTAGATTTTTTTTTCAAAGAAACATTATAAAGGAAATGTCATGTAGGAGGGAACAAGCTGCATTAGGGGAGGGGAAACCTTACTAAATAATGTCATAAAAAGGATGTATTCTGTAGTATACTGATGATTATTATTAACTATGGATACCAGGGGACTCCTTGTATGTAATGTATTCCAGTCCTGTTGTATTCTTGCATATGAGAGTATTACCAATGATCTGCAGTGTCTGGTAATAATAATGCGCAAACGTTATAACAAATAGGTAGTACTGTTGTTTTGTTCCTTTTTAATATATCAAATGTATTTCATTGCTTACATTATAGTAGCAGATTGAAAACATCTGCTCTCTTGCCACTAGTCCACAAGTAACAGAAAGTCTCAGCTCATTTTCCTTCAGGCCAGTATGCTTCAAGCCATGTGTACCAGGACTATAATCCAGCTGCCGAGTGTTGATACAGGGCCAGACCTATACTCAGGAGTCTTTTAAATGGAAACAATACCTTCTTGCCAAGGATTAGAACAGTGATAAACTCCATTTGCTTTTCTCTCCCTCCTCCCCCGCCTCCCTTTCCTTGCAGCTCCATCCCCCATCACAATAATTAGGAAGGACCGGACATCCAGGAATAGCGTGTCTCTATCTTGGCAAGAACCTGAACATCCTAACGGGATCATCTTGGACTACGAGGTCAAGTACTACGAAAAGGTGGGAAGAAGAGGTGGAAGGGGGAAGTTTCAGTGTTGATAGCCTAATACTGAAGTCATTGTGTCTTTCGTGCCTAAAATGGCCAGGATGCAGCCATGCCTTTGCTCTCTGTCTCTTTCAACAGTTACTGTTCAATTTGACAAATTCCTGGTTCATGAAAATGAGTCCATGGATGAGCACAAAATGTGCAGCTGTCTTTGCCTCTTTGGTTTCATGGTGTTTATTTAAAAATAGTCTTTTTAAAAATATTTGTTCATTTATGAGTTGTCCTTCAGGTGCAGCATATTTGCACACAAGTGATTTGAGAGAAAGTAGATCTCTGCTTAGTGACATGTTCACAATTTACAACATCAGAGTAATTCACACTAGTGAACCATGAAAAGTAACTATATCTTTCCTAAATAGGACAGAAAAAGAAGGGAAAGGGAAATGAGGAGGGGGAGAGGGAGGAGGAAGGAAAAGGTTTGTTTTATTTTGTTTATTGTGTTCTTTCAGTTGTAATCAGGCTATCTGCTATTGAGCTATAGTAAATTCACTAGTAATTCATGCTGATAGGAAGGAAGATCCCCAACAACTGCTGTGCAAATCACAGAGTGAGAATTGTCCTTGCCTCAATGAATGAGATTCCACTATAATGTTCCCAAGAATACATTGTTGCCAATTCCAGTTAGGCATGAGAAAAAATTGGCAGGAGTAAAGGGTTAACTCAGTAAATACTGATAGTACTTCTTTGTGCAAACTAAGGACTTCAAGCCTCCAAAAGTGAACAAGGCACTAGTTTCTATGGGTTTATATCAGGATAAAGATTGTGTTTAAATCCTGGATGCTAGAAGTGAAAACGACTTCATAGATCAGTCAGACCATCATTCTCTTATTTTAAGCCCTGTGAAGGGTAGAGTGACATTACTAATAGAAACTACACTTGATCATCGCCAGTCTGAAGACTATATTCCATATTCTAAAAAAATGTATGAAATGAGACTAGGATTCAGAGAGACCTAGAAAAGTTGGAAGATTGGACCAAATGAAATCTCATGAAATTCAATAAGGGCAAGTGCAAAGTCCTGCACTTAAGATGGAACAATCCCATGCACAAGCTGGGGACCAACTGGCTGGGCAGCAGCCCTGCAGAAAAGCACCTGGGGGTTACAGTGGACAATAAGCTGAATATGAGCTAATTGAATATGTGTGCCCTTGTTGTGAAGAAAACTAACAGCATAGTGGGCTTCATTAGTAGGTGTGTTACCAACAAATAAAGGGAAGTGATTATGTCCTTCTATGAGGCACTAGTGAGTCCACATCTGGAGTATTGTCTCCAATTTTGCTCCCCCCATGGCCCACTACAGAAAGGATATGTGGATAAATTGGAGAGGGTCCAGCAAAGGTCAGTGGAAATGTTTAGAGGGTTGGGGAACATGACTTGAGGAGAGGCTGGTCTTATTTAGTATGAAGAAAGCATGACTGAGGGGGGATTTAATAGCAGCCTTCAAGTACGTGAAGGGGTGTTCAAAAGTGGGTGGAGCTAGACTGTTCTCGGTAGTGGCAGATGATGGAACAAGGAAGGAGCAGTAGTCTCATGTGGCAGCAAGGGAAGTTTAGGTTAGATATGAGGAAACACTTTCTTACTAGAAGAATAGTAAAGCACTGGAACAGGTTACCCGGGGAGGTGGTGGAATCTCCATCCTTAGAGGTTTTTAAGACCCAAGTAGACAAAGCCTTGGCTGGAATTATACAGTTATATATGTCTTGGTTTGAACAGGCGGTTGGGCTAGATGACCTCCTGAGGTCCCTTCCAACTCTAATTTTGTGACTTTATGAGCTGACCATTTGCTTTTTTGAGAATTTGGATTTTGAAGGGCCTTGGTGAAGTCAGACACCCATCATTTTTAACCTTTGCTGGTAAGAAGAAAAAAAATCCTCCCAAACCTTTTTTAGCTTTAAACTAATTCTAGACAGGAGTGTATTGTAGATTTCCTTTTTTTGAGACCAATTCGGTTTCTCTTTTGCCATTTATTTCAATGACATCAGGATTGAGGCATTAAAGGAGAACCAACCATATATCAATTTGTCTTTATTTATACAACCACAGCAGTAAAACCACATGGGAAGTATTTGGACTTTCTCATTTTCTTTCATTCTTAAAAAAAAATCACATAACGTATTGCCTTTTAATAAAGAATTTAGAGTTATTTACCTCACAAAGTACCTATATCTAAATGCACCAAGAGCTTCAGTCTCTTTCACACAGGACAGATTGTTTACTTGGGCTAATGACTTCCATCTCATTTGAGACCTACCAGTGTGCTCATGTTGTCATTGGCTGTAATTTTGTTTTTCAAGACCTGCAGCAGGATGAGCTCAGCTTGAGAGTCTTTTCTTTTGGAACTCATTTCCCAGGATGGTCCTTCAAGAGTTTGATGGGATTCAGGGTACAATTTAAGATTATTTTTTTCAGTCTGAATTTTGAGCAAGTTTAGGAATAGGATGTTTTTTGATTTATGAGCAGAGTAGAGGATCACTGATTTTTGCAAATTGCATGACCCAACTGATTTTCTTTCTGTTCTTTTTTTTTTTTTAATGGTAGCTTTACTCTGAAAAGTAACGTTCATGAAACAGCATTATTTTACTCAGTGACAGTTCAGTACTGTGAGGTATAGGAGGCTTCTTGAAGTGCAAAATGCCTTACATTCCCTATGACTGGTAGGATTAAACTTCAGATATGCTTTCTTTGTAGTATCAGAGTCATGTCTGCTTATACCAGTGATAAAAGTACACTTTCAGGACACTTGCCCACCATAGGCATTGCAGAGCTAACACTGTTCTGAGAACTTGACTCAAAGTCAACTGAATCTATATACAACACCTCATCATATATATTAACAACACAAATAAGTAAATGGCAGATTTCAGACCATAGCCTCTCTTTAACTTCTCTTCTATTTATTTATCCATGTTTCTGTGCTGCCTTATAAAAATATGCATTTCCAGTCGCTCAAGCTGTGGGTAGGAATTGTCATGCCACAACAGACTAATGGTCCATATCCTGCTGTCCAGTATCCTGTCTTTGTCCATTAGTGAATGCCAGCTGTAGTTATAATGCCTAGCTCTTTTCTCTCTACTTCAGATGAAATTTCTCTCTTGATGACAAGCCTAGCTGTCTTCTTCCTGGTCCGTTTCAGAACAGCTCTTCTAGCACCAAGCCCCTTTGTGCTTTTATTCTTCTCAGGTAGAATTTAACAATTCCCCTACTTGTAAACTAGGCATGGGGCTGCTGGCCATTAGCTTGCCGGTCTGATCCCCATGTGGAACTCCCCTCTCTTCCCTTCCATGGGAGGAAGGGGAGAGGGTAGGCAGGGTGGTCCTTTAGGTTTTCTGGTTCACAGGCCTCAGCCAGAAAGTTATCACATCTAGTTCTGTAAAATGACTGCAGCCAAGAGGTTGGATTTTCACTAATTTGGACATTACTCAATAAACATGTGTAAAACATGTTTATCAAGGTGTGGCTTGTTTTGAGAGGTTGTTTCTCTCTCTGCTTGTTTTTCCTCAAAACCCCATTATTAAACTAAATGTTTTCATACAGACAGTATTGAATAAGCAGTTCAACAGACTGTGTTCATAACTTATTACACAGAAGCTCCGGTATAGTCTCATGCCTCAACTAAAGCAAATTGCTCTTTTAAATGTGCATTATCCTCCCCTGGTTGATGCTGAATGTCACCTGTTGTTCTTTTGGCCTTCTCCCTATCTTTTTTTAAGCCCTACTTAAATTCTTCAGAATACTTAATATTGATGAAAAACTTAACTAAGTTACAATTGCTGTTCCAAATCTGGCAGAAATCACTCATTCACATATTGCTGAATACAAAATATAAAATAGTACCATTGGTAAGGTATGGTTAAGGGGAGATATCTGAGAAATTACCAAGCTGTATAGCTGCATCCAGATGAGCACAGCCGTGCAGGACGAGCACAGCCGTGCACCACATACCACACGTTTAGTTGTTCTCCATGCTACAAGGGAGTGGTTTTTTGACCTCTGGATATCCAGGGATCAAAAAAACGCCATGGATTAAAAAAAAAAGCAGAGGAGCTCACGCTTGGGTAGCATACACTGCTCAAAAGCAGAGCTGAGCTGCCCAGAGCCATACTATGGCTGCCACCTTGGCTCTGTGTGGTAGAATTGCCACTGCTGCAGCCCCAGGAGGACCCCAGGTAAAGCTGCTGGGGCCATCCCTGTGCTGGCCCCAGCCTCCCCTACCCCACCCAGGGTAACTTGCCACACACCAGAGCATGTGTGGCACAGGCATTCTCCAGAGACCACTAGCAGTGGCGCAAGGTGTCCCCAGGGAACCAAGCATCCATACCATGTGTGGCGTGTGGCCTATGAGTGTAATTGACCCACAGAACCTTCTTTACTGATGGGATGTTACAACAAGAAAGAATATAGCTTGATTGGGGGGATTCTAGGAAGGGTTTGCAGTGGCACTTGTGGGAAAAATCTTTTAACTTGCAGGCCTATCACCTTGATTTAAATGTCATTGAGACATGATAAATATAGACTGCCAAAATAGCTTTTTAAAGACTGTCATTTCAGAAAAAAACTGCATTTTAAATAAAGTTTATGGTACCTAGTTAATGTTAAGTTTTATACAAATGTTAAATAATATAATACTTTGAGAGAGAGTTTAGTAAAGCTGGAGGAAATACATGGTTCATTTTTTAAGGTAGTGCAAAATAATACTCAAGTTAAGCATATACCCAAGTGCTTTGCCAACCTCAACCATACAAATGCCACCATGTGCACTGGCCTGCTTTTTTTTAGGTGCAGGTTTTTTTGACCTCTGGAACTCCCAGGGTCAAAATGCCACCCCCATACTGAAAAGTACTAATGCAGGGAATGCCTGCATGAGCGGCATGTGTGGTGTGCAGCACTGCAGGCAGGTCTGTGGCGCCACATACTGCACATTCATGTTCATCTAAACCTGCACCTAAAAAAAAGC